GAAATAAAAAGCGATATTATACATCGCCTTTGGCTGTAATTTCCTGCAGAATGCCGGATGTGAGGCAGAAATAAGGTTGCTCTTTGTAACTCGCTAAATGAAGTCCGACCGCTGAATTCTAGATAATTTTCCAGGAACTGTAGACACTAGACTTCATTCACGACGAAAGACAATTTTTCACACAATGTTAATTTGCGCTCATTTCCTATGCTCACGACCTGGCAACGTTTTAATTATTCGCTTCCTTTTGATTGCTTTGATAAAAAGATTATTGGAGAGACGGAAACTTTTTGTCATAGTCGCGAGTGACACTAACTTATAAAAGCTTTTTTACCAGCAACTCTTACCAGAGTTAAATTTGTCAAGGGACAAAAGTGAAATCTACCCACATTTCAAGCTAATTTAGTAATGGATCAAAAATGCTCTTTCAATACATAATATTGTTTGCGATTTAATTAATAGCAAGTTGAATTTACACTTAGCAAAGCATATCATTCTAAATTATGCTTTTACTAGATTAGTTTATTCAAATAATGCAACGTCACTGAAGCGTTGTTTTGCAGTTAGTAAACTTTATTCATACGTTTGGTTTGAATATAACTAATAGTTGATTATATTTATACGTGTTTGTTTGAATAAGCTGTAACTAACATGGGCTTGTTTGTTTAGTTTAGCAGAGCATTAAATACGCTTTGAACTAAAAAAATTCAAGTTTATGGTAGAGAGTTTTTGTGTCTGATACATAATGCATTTTCCTCGAATTTGTAGTGTTTGGATAAATAATTTTCGGTTTGTGATTCACAATTGGATTGTTTGCGATTGAAACTTTGAATTTTCACCCTGAGCTCACCTTTTCCTTTCCTTCAACCAAAAACATTAGGTAAAAAACGTTATCTCCACGTAAAACTCGCGATATCTTTGTTAGGCCGTAATATGAGTCGTAAAATTTACGATCGTCGAGGAGTTTATTTGGGAGATAGCAGTAAATATCAGAAATGTGTCGCAGGCCAAGAAGGATAACAAAACGGCGGAAGGACGCACCGTAAGGAAGCACTCGTCACCTGCTTGATGGAGCACCTCTTTGGGTAATGAAATCTGTTGTTTGCTTCCGAGACGTGTTTATAACTCGCTATTTTCATAAAGGACGACCGGATATTGTTAATAAGGGACAGGTGAGTTGAACGGCCGGAAGTTGGTATACAATCCCTCTTGATGATACAATGGAGTAGTGAAACTTGTACATCAGCAAATTGATACAAAGGAACGACTTACACATAACCCGACGACTTCTAGATATCCAGGACTTGCTCGAAGATGACGCACGATCGTAATTTATGGCGAGTCGATAACGACGTTCGACCCACTCGCCTTTATTTTTAGAAACATTGAATAAATATTTAAATTGATAGAAATTATTATTGATGAGTGGCAAGAGACTTATCCATCAACATTTTTAAGAAAATGCAGACAACATTAAAATTCATCTTCTAGAAAAAACAGTTAGCTCTTTAACCGTAGAAAAAATCTTGTACGTGCCACATGCTAACATATTCATTTTGAGCTTTGCTACAGTTTAGAACACATTTTTAATGTAATTGGTTAATTACTAATCATTTTATGCAGTAACTATAGTTAAAAAAGACTTTTTAGGAAGCCTGAAGTTTGAAAACCAAGGTTATAGCCAAGATTTACAATCAACTAAGTTTGTTCTTTGCTTGTCGGCTTTGTGGCGTTTAAAATTTTACATATTTTTGTCTTGTTTTGATAAAAAATTTCTAATTTTGTAACTTTTTAATTTCACCTCAATTTCAGTTATTTTCTCGGTGGAAAACGCTCTAACTTTATAAAAATGAGCAAAAATTATGCATTTCCAGACTTAGTTTTGCAATTTTCTACTCTGTTGAAACAAAATTGTTTAGTTTTTTTTTTGGATAAAAAACAAACATTTCTAAATACAATTTTGCAATTTTCTAGTTTATTTAGGCAAGACTGCTCAATTTTATTTGCGTATTGTGTCAAAAAACACTTTAATTTACAGAAAATAATGCATTTTTAACCTAATTTTGAAATTTTCAAAATATCTAAATTTCATTTAGGTGTTTTTTTGGTATAAACTGTTTAAAATTTCAAACATAAACAAAAGTAACGCATTTTAGATAATTTTGTTAGTATCTACTTTGATTTTCTTGATAAAAAATACATACTTGTCATTTTGCAATTTTCTACCTTATTTTGGCAGTTTCTACAGTTTCTTAGTATAAAATGCGTTAAATCCATCAAAATAGGTAAACACAATGGAATTTCATAACAAATTCTGCAATTTTCTTGGAAAATAAGCCAACTATTGTTCATACGTGATAATAGCAAAAAACTCTGGATTTCAGTAATTTCCTTTTTGAAGAACGCTTCAAATTAATGAAAACAACCAAAAATCTAATTTTGCGCATTTTTCTGCTTTATTTAAGCAAAATTATCAGATTTTTTTGTCAAAAAACACTTCTAAATAAAAAAAATACTGCATTTTTGAGCATTTGAGCTAATTTTGCAGTTTTGAAACTTGTGAATTCAGTTTTTTTGGTATAAATACAGTGTAGTATAAATACAATAAAAGGATCTAAATTTAAAAATTATTAACAAAAATAATGCTTTTCCAATCTTAATTTTGTAATTTTCTACTCAATGAATCAGTATTAATACAATATTTCAATTTTACAATAATAGCAACTCTAATTTTAATAATCATTTATGTTCTAATTACGTACTTTATTGCATCAGTAAAATGATTGGGTACCTAAGATTTCTTGAATTCTGTGACATAATAGTAAAAGAATTATAAAAAATACTTTTTTTACAACTTTAACAGAAAGTAAGGTATTCCAACCTAATTTATCTCTATGGAAGGTAAAAATTTTACCTTCCTCACACATAGAAAAAAACATGCTGCTAGATTTAATAGCGAGATATCAAGAGAAGTTGTTAGATTTGTTCTTGGAAAGTTTCTTTTAGATGGTTACTGCCCGAGACTTGTTTAATTGTGGAAGGAAAAGATACACTTTCCTCCCTTGTAATATAAATAACTATTAAGCCGTTTATAACGGTCTCCGGAATATTAAAATTAAAAATTGAACAAATCACATCGTTGGTGGTTAATAACGACTGGCGTCTACGTTCATTATACATAATTTTTAGTAATGTTAAAGGATAATATTATATTACAAAAAGTAATATTATGACTGCAATGTATTATTGTTGAAATTAAATTTAAATTAAATACAAAGTCTGCATTTGTAAGTCGTTGCGAAAATCCAATATTCCAGCTCCACCCTACTGTGTATTTTCTGCTGCATAAAACTAAGTGACTTTGTGCTACAAAATAAAATCTTTTCTCTCTAATATAATTTTGAAAGTAGAAAAGCGTATTATCCCGGTTTCCGATGGAATTTACCGATCTTTAATTCTACAAATCGGCCAGTTTTGGTTTAAAATTTTGGTACAACCTTACCTCTCGGTGCAAACAATTTAAATATTTCACGCTACTTTAATTGCATGTTTGTTATTTTTGTAAGAGGGTAAAAGCGCGTTTATTAATGTAATGTAATTCAAATGTTTGTGAGCGTAAATTATTGTCGAAATGCAAATTTGTGATACGAATGGAGCGTTAAAATCCGTTTATTCAGTTTATTTTATTTAAGGATCCTTTTGCGTTTATCCTTTTCCCGAATATGAATCCTTAGCGCAATGAGTGCAGAATTTGCGACACCCAGATTTGTAATATTTATGCGATTGCAATGCGAGTCCGTTGGCGTTTGGCGAGAGGCCAAATAATCATTGCGAAAATCGAAAATCTTGAGTTATTTCGCAAAGGGCGAAGAATAGCCGTTGCGTTTTATCGAACACTCACTCATATTCTGTCTTTCGACCGGAAAAGCAATTACCGGAAGCTCGATTTCGTCGGATTATTACACGAGATAACGACACAAAAGCAGGTGCTACGAAAGCTCCCAATTCCCAATTCTTCTCCTGTTTACTGACCTAAATATTAAACTATTTTACAAAGTTCATTAACGGCGACCTTGTTTCCTCCATTGTGTCATTAATCAAAAGTGAAATTAAATGCAGAACTCGGTTGAAACAAAATTAATAATCTTGTTAATGTCTCGGGGAATAAAATATTGACTCAAGGGGACCACACTTGATAAAATAAAAGAGCAGATCAGAAGACAATGGAGATACGTGATAACACTGATAACTGCTATACCAATATGTCGATAATGTCACTACATCACTTTAGTTCGAAATGTTTACATTGGAAATTGAAGAACAAAATTTCTCTATGTCTTTTGCTGTCTTGAAAATTGAAATTGCAAACACAGATAACCCAGTGTTTGTTCAGTAAAATATAACGATTCCAACAGGCACAAAACATTTGTTTTTATTGAAATGTTACCTAAATTGCACTAAAATTTTATTGGTTGTGTGCAAAATTGGAGGTGTTTAAAAATCTTTCACACAATTGTACCAATAAAATTTTCAATAAATCAATGATTTGAGCGAAATTGGCGCACAAACAGGATGTCTTTTCTTTGTAACTCTTTGTTTACATTATTGGGGTGAAGTTCGTAAAGATAAGTTTTCGTATAAAGCTTCGGTAAACCTGGAAAGAAAAACATTTCGAGTTTAAAGAGAAGATAAGTCCGCATGTTAGGTTTACATTTTGTAAAACAACTAAATTTCGGAATTAATTGGTTTATTTTATTATTAAAAGACCTACTTTTGAACCCGGATTATTTTGAAATTCGTTGGTGAAAATGTAGATAACTTCTGCATCATATATTCAGAATTCAACTTTATTATTATCCGGAGGCACTTTGGCAGTTGGAAATTTGTTTCAATATTATAGTTTTGAACGTATTTACGTATCGAGAAAGCTCTAAAACATCCACAAATTTTTCCCCCAACAAAAAAGAATGATTGAAAAAGCCATAAAGCTATCAACTTACCGTGCGGTTTCCGAGATTTTTCACGCGGCAGTGTAGCAAGACAGTTTTGCCAACAAGTCCAGTTATGTTAGAATTTATTGACGTGTCAAAGTAAGGTCCGGTCCCTGGCGTAGGCCATTCCTGCAAGAAATCTCTGAATTTCCGAGAGCCGCCGTCTTCAGCACCTGCAAACAAGATTTTAACTTTCTTGAATCAAACTTGACAGCAGAGAAATTGCAGGGACGCTTTTTCGCGATTCTTCGAACGTGTAATTAATTAAGTTGACAGCGGGAGAATAAAAATGGCAGCTTTTTGCGAATATTCCCGTTTTTGCTACCGGACCCCGGTCATAGTTTAGCACTTCTCATGCAGATGTTACTCGGATTTTTTAGAATTTCACCACTTTTTGCGAAGTGTTGCAAACTATATTGTTCCTTATAGGACATAAAGTGTATGACGTTCGTCTTCATTAGTTGTTGCTCGAGTTTGTTGCAATATGTGGAGAAAAAAGCCCCGTTTGGCGTACTCAAGTTGACCATAAAGCTCTTCACGGTTCTTTGTCTCATGTGTTTACGACTTTACGTGCATAACCTTTGAGCGCGCAGGAATTACGTTTAATGTAACAAAAGTTATTTCCGGGCTTTTTTAATTGTGTTATTTTTCAAATGTACATTATGGTGGAATCTACAGTCACAGCTTTTCTTGATGATTCTCTGGGAATGATTTGTTGAATGCTTTGCACCGCCTGCTCGGAAAAATGTTTTGTCGTGAGTTATTATGAGTCCGTGAGGAAAGACTTAAATTACATCTTTCGTTTCATGTTGTTTTACTTTTCTATATTTTACACAAAACATGTATACAGTATATTTCGAAGTTTCAAGGGTTTGCACAACTTTTTTATGTTTTCTACGTGCCTTCTAAATATTATATTATAAAAAAGTAAGTACGTCTTTATAAGCCGCATTTTTCGAACAGAATGTTATTAAAATTTCAGCAAGGATATGTAAGTTTCAAGTATAATTTAATATTCCATTTTCTGCTACAAAAGAAAGATTTCTTCCTTTAATGGACGCGGCTGGAATATATTTTTTGTAAAACGGATTAATTTTGAAATAGTTGCATTGATTTCCTGAATGTATTTTATTTAACTTAAACTTTGTAAAACTCCTCGAACCTTCTTTAAAGTTCGTGCTTTAATTACGTTTATTATAGCGAATATTTGTGCTTGAAAGTTTAATTAGAATTAAATGTTTTCATCTGAAATTAGTTTTATTTCAAGTTATTGAAATGAAAATAGGTTGCCTTCAAAACTCATTTTATTTAACGACCAAATTTTAAAAAGTGCCCAAATTGTATTTATAATTTAAGTGAATAAGCTCCAAATTATGAAACGAATTTTCTTCGGTTGCGTTTGATATTTTTGCTTATTTAGCAATTCAAATGCATAAACTCTCCAGATAGAGCGCATTTGATGTTTTACAGTCATAGAATAAACATGAAATTTTTTGTATATTCGACTTTTATTACATCCAAACACAATATCAACTCAATCAGATCTAAAATCTCGAGAGAAAATAAAAAGATTAATCAAAAGTATTTTCACTTTTAAGAATCATCTCGATTTCGCTCTTTTAAAAAGACTTTTTACCGAGACGATATTTAACTGTCCAAATGTAGCTTTAAAGTGAAAATTTGCGAAATTTATCATTCCAGACAGCTGCTGTCGTTAGCATAAACTTTAAGGAGATGTAATTTTAAGCCCTTGACAAATATCTTAGCTTCTATATATTTCGAGTAGAAAAGTTCCCCGATGAAGCATTTACCTACCAACAGTCAATATTTTGATCGAGCATTGTTGGCAAATTTCATGTATTTGTACATTTTTGCAGAAAATATTTGTCCAGCCTTCGGCAAAATCTTGCTTGAAAACAGCACATTTTCATCACATAAATAATTTCAGTATTCGTTAAAGTTGTTTAGCTTTCCTCTGTTTTGCATTTCTGGCATTGTTTTTTGCCTTCAATATTAAAAATTCACTTTATATAAATCAATTTTTGCACAAATGAAATTAAAAGGAAAGTGTAAAAAGTTGTGTTAAACTGCAAAACAATTTGTTTTGAATAATTTATGAGCTATCGCATTTGGACTTGGTCCGTGAAATCCGTGCCAATTTGAATGAAAATTATAATGCGGTGTAAGTTTTAACGAGTTTGTCCTGTAGTTAGTGTAGGTATTATTTTTCGGGAAATGTTTTAAACACAGCTCGGGTTGTGCATTTCGATGAGCTCATTTCCATTCGATCGTTAACGTTGTTAACGAATCCACGTTTTGTGCAAACTGCGACATGTTAATATTGTTTTCACTTAAATCGCTCATAATTATTATTCGGCGAGGTGGCCTTCCTTCGGGAACTGATGAATTATTGAAAGTCTTGAAGAGTTTCCGTGTTTTGCTAGACGTTGATAAAATGAGTGAGACTGGAACAGTTGACTGTCCCTTGACTGAAGTTTATGATTCCCCAAATCCACATCTCGACCGCCTTCTGAATAAAACAACGGCTCTATGTCTTTTCGAACCATTTATTTTTTTCCACGATTTGTTATCACTGATAAGAATTTATTGGGAATGTGTATTATTTGGATCATTGATTTGTATAAAGTTTGAGACGATTTAAAGTCACAATTCCGTAAATCTAGCTTTCATTAGTGCAGACAAGGATATCAGCTGTTTTAGAGAATTTTGCTCGGATGTCAAAGAGAATTAACACCTGAACATAATTTACGAAGCGAGAGCTGGATTAACAAAACCACCAGCCGGCAGTTATTAATCCGAGATCGAGAGGATCCTTTAACTTTGTAACAACAACCCTCGGGTAACAAGGAACAAGATATTTTTCCCGAATCAATTATTTAAAGCACCTTCACACGATACACCCACTTTTTCAGGCAATAAAAATATGACGCTTTTCATTTGAAAACAAACTCAAGGTAAAAGTGGAGCCATAAATTGGCATGTTGTTTATATTTCTTTCGGGAATAATAACATTTTTGATCTGGGAAAGATTATAAACGTTATTATGCATTACAAGCAAACAGAAAGTTGATTCGACTTGTTTAAGTAGCTGTTTACTCTGAGGATCTGCATATATAAGAGTTTTCTCGTGTACAATATCTTCAATATATTAGATAAAATGTCATGTCTCAAACATTCAGGTTGGGTTGCTTTACTTTGCAAGTACGACGAAAAAGTTAAAAATTATTCATGAACCCGCAAACTTCAGCTATGTTTTAAAAATGTAACTTTTGAGACATCCAATCTGTTTTATGCAAACAAGACAATTAGGAAATGCTTTATTTACTCACAAAGAAAAATTTTTCACAAATTCTTTAAAATTTTCATACTTAAAAATGCTTTTTGGACAAAGAATTGACACAATCTTATGTAAGGCTGACTTGAAAATCTAATTTGACTTTGAGGATTCTACAGCATTTGTTTTAAAAAAGTAAAAACATTAAATGCGTCTGTGAATTCTGGATTTGGTTTTATTAAAAATGTGAAAAAGAAATGAAAATTAATGACCTTATCTTGGATTTTTTAAAAACATAACTTTTGAGACATATATATTAACAAAAATTTTTTGCATTATTTTGCATTTGTATATTTATAAATGCTCTTTTAGACAAATTACAGTAAATATACTTTTTAAAATTCTGAAAGATGTGTAACAAAAACTAAAACGGAATTAATATGTCTTCTTTAAAAAATATCACTTTAGAAGCATATTTCCTCACAAAAAAAATTTTTGACAGAATTTTTTTGAATTGAAATTGAAATTTTTGACACCAAATGTTTTAAAAGTGTAAAAACGCTAATTGCGTCTGTAAATTCTCGATTTTGTTTTACTAAAAATGTAAGGAAAAAAATTGTAAATGGGATCTTCAGTGGTCTAAAGTTCGTACTTGCACATTCAATCAGTTCGAAGCAGTTGCTGCATGATCGATTTCAAAGCAGCCAGATGACTAATGACTGGATTCGCCATACTCTCCGGTTGAATAAATATTCTGTGTTGTGAAGAGCGGCGTTTGATGGAAACTTTAATGGAGCGAAGCATAGCTTATGTAATAAGAATGCGTAGTATCAACATCTGGGAAATGGATATGTGACAGAAATCGTTCGGGCACAAAGCTTTGACAATCTACGCACATCCGCAAACTTATCGTCCTCCACCAGAAACCTCATTTACCGTTTTCGGTGTTTAGTTGTTGAAGCAAATTTGAGGTTTATTAATTTTATTTGGGTCTAGTGAAGTCTCTTGAAGTTGCACTTGCTATTTAAATTTCTACTCAATCTTAGAGTCTTTCGAGTTAAAAGTTTTGCGCTACAAATAGTCAACTTTGAGCTGTAAATATTAATTTTTGGTGAATTTATTTTACGTTGTAAAATTCAGTCTTGGATCGAGGTAAGTCTGGTTTAAGACATGAATATAAATCATTGGCTGGTCTGAGGACGTGATTTAAATATATAGATGGGGTAAAATTTGGTCGGGTAGTTTTATAGGCAATTTATTTATTTAGTTCCGGTTCGAGTTTTGTAATTTAAACCTCAATAAAAACGTGATCTGCAATTTGCATAATAAAAGCAAATTCAGGTGGTGGTTTGTCCGTCATAAAGCAGTGTTTATGTGACACATGAACGGTTTCTCCCTATCTTTCCCGTAGGTATTTATTGTCGCATTCGATTACCGTGTTCGACACTATGTCCTTTTCAACTACTACACCCTCATTCCGTCGGATAACCGCACATTTAATCGAAACTCTCTGCAGAGTTACTGCTTTTGTTCTCTTAATACGATTTAAAAGCGCCACGTATATATGTCTCAAAGTATCCGAGTTGGCGTTGATGTATTGCTACTATGAAATCTGGATTCGACCCTTTACAACGGCTAAATAAGGATTGGCACGGGAGTGAATCGCGACTAGAACTCCTTAGTCTTCTTTGATAAACTGCGCTATTATAATTAATAGGGACGGTTTTATCAAGCTTAACGCCAAACAGATTTCTAACTGAATTATATTACGATTTATTAAAATAAATGTACACTCTTATCTGCCATCACGACGAATTATAGATAATTTGCCCAGTTTTGACGTTATATATTGCCTGATAGTGAGCTTGACGTCGATTT